TCTCTCTCTGAAATTACAGAAAGGCTTGAACAGTTTGATACCTCTGAGCTGGCCAGCAGCTGAGCGTCTCCATTACACTCTTGACGTGGGGCGGGTACAGCTTGGACACGATCACCTGGCGGTACAACACGTTGACCTGCTCGCGCGCAAACTCGAGCGCCTTCTCCTGTTCGGAGCTACCGGTCTTGAGTGCTTTGTTCTTGCGGAAGTCCTCCCTGACGCGCCGCGTAGCGTACGCACGGAAGTTGTAGGTCTGTTTAGAAGTAGTAAAGAAAGGAGAGAGTGGTTTAGTAAGAATATACTAACAAGCCCGTTGCCAGGATGACGACGGCCAAGGTTGAATGTCAAGTTGTTCATGCAGGGCTTGTGACTGAGCTTTCTATTTCAAACCTTTCGCAGGTTGAACAACTATTTCTTAACTATCAGTATATTTCATTCCTTCTTTTGCCAAGAAAGGCTACGGTCCTCTGCAAGCCACGACCAAGGCTTAAATCCTTGCTGAGACCCCCGCTGCGAGCCAAGGATTGCCACTTTGAGATATCTCAACCTTGTGGAGGCAAGGAACCAAGTAAGAGAGATGAGCGACGATGGTGTGGAGACGTCGAAGATGACCTTTTTGATCACAACGAAGAAAAAGAAGACTGGTCATGAGCGGGAGTTCATCAAGATCAGTATCCCTCGCTTTAGTGGCGGAACAGCGCAAGATCGGTTGCGCTGGATTAAGCAATTTGAGCACATTTGTGAGTTGAAGAAGTGGACTTCGGAGGAGAAGGCTCTGCATTTGAACTTAGTGCTGGACGATGAGGCGCTGAACTCTTGGAAGGTGGTGTCGGAAAGCGTCAATGTTGACGACAAGGACGAGTTCGAGTCGGTTTATAAGACGTGGGGACACATGTTTGTGCCCAGCATGTACCATGAGCGATTGGAGGAGGAGTTATACCTCTTTGCGAAGAAGAGGAGCGAAACGGTGGCGAACTGTCATCAGAGAATGCGTAATATAACGTGTATGCTCTCCAACCTCCCATCTAACGCTCTGGAGTTGGATGAGCAGACGTTGATCCTCACGTTCAAGATGGCGTTGCCGAACGAGTGGAAGACGGCATATGAGCGTAGTGGAGTTCATCTCACCTCAATGCCGAAGACCGTCCAGTATTTTGAGCGGCTGGAGATTAACGACACGTTGGTTGAGCCGAAGAACATGGTGGGTGCAGCGGAGATTGATCAGAAGACCTACGAGAAGATTCTCGAACTGCTAACCCGCTTTAAAAAAGCTCTATAATGGACACTTGGGGCGCATGAAGTTTCCAGACTACATCTTGCCGATGGCGAAGCAGTATACACCGATACAATCAAGACCGTAATCCATACCCAGAAGCGAAGAAGGTACTGCACGAAAGGAGATCCAGCGTTTACGGGTGCTGGATGTGCTGGAGCAGATCTTTGACAGTGAGTGGGCATCGCCTGCTTTCTTCTTGAAGAAGCCTGGCGGACGGCTGCGGTTGCTGACAGACTTTCGAGCTTTGAATAAGTTCTTAAAGCGCATTCCGTACTATGTGCCGTTAATTCGAGAAGTATTGATACGTCTGGGAGGTGCAAAGTTCTTCTCATCTCTGGATGCTAACATGGGATATTATGCGAGGCAACTGGTCAAGGGAAGCAGACGCGTTACTGCTTTTTGCACTCCGCTTGGTAAATTTCAGTACAAGCGGCTACCAACGGGAATATCAACAGCTTCAGATGAATACCAGGCGTGTATGTCGAGAATTTTGGGCGATTTAGACTTTGTGATAGTTTATTTGGATGACATCCTCATTTTCTCTAAAACGGCAGAAGACCATGTGGAACATCTGCGAGTGGTATTCACACGGTTGGCGGAGTATAATGTAACCCTCAACGGCAAGAAATGCCACATTTTCTGCTCAAGTGTGGAATATCTGAGCTTCACTGTGAGCGCAGAAGGCATTAAGCTTCAGGAGAAGAAGATCCGAGCGATTCTTCAGATCAAAAGACCAAAAGAACAAGAGAAAACTGCGGAGATTCCTGGGAATGATTAATTACTATCGTGAAATGGTGTCAGGCAAGTCTACTATCTTAAAGCCGTTGACGCAGTTGACATCTCCGAAGGCCACCTTCCAATGAACATCGGTTGAAGAAGAAGCCTTCGAAGATATTAAGAGGGCTTTGGCGAAAGCCGTGTAGTTAACCTTTCCAAATTTCGAGAAACCATTCGACATCTACGCAGATGCCAGTGGAAAACAATTAGGTGGACTTATAGAACAACAAGGAAAGTTGATTGCTTGCTACTCCAGAAGTCTTACGACCACTCAGCAGAACTATACAACAACGGATTTGGAGTTGCTGTCAGTGATCGAGATTTTGAAGGAGTATAGGACGATGTTGCTGGGGTTTCCATTGTGGTACACACGGACCATAAGAACCTCATTTATCCCACGGAGAATTCGCTGCGAGTGAAGAGGTGGAAGTTGCTTTTGTCGGAGTACAAGATCACCTGTGAACATGTCCAAGGGAAGGATAATGTAGCTGCAGATGCATTTTCACGGATGTCATACGACGAGGAAGTTAATGGTGAAGCTGAGATGGAAGCTTTGCTAATTGATCCCGTTGCCTGTGTTCTTGAAGGAAAATACAGCAAGCAACACCAAGCGGAGGATGACGTCACTCAATCTTTGATTCAATCGTGTATGAATGGCACGAATAATCCCGACTACCGGATCCAAAACATGATGGGAGCCCGTCTATTGGCTTTTCAAAAGCGTGTGGTTATTCCTATGGCTCTACGTCAAGAATTGGTGGAGTGCTACCACACCCAATTGATACAGCCGGGACCAAAGCGACAATTTAACACGATGAAATCCATTTTTCTACTGGTCCGGAATGACGAGAAGCATTGTGGAGTTCACTAAGAAATGTCTTACCTGCAAACGAGCCAAACGGCATGGGGGACAGCAGAATTACAGGAAATTACCCCCACGAACAATGAAAACGGTGGACCCATTCGATGTAGTGCACGTTGATACCATTGGACCTTACGGAAGTGAACGCTACTACGCACTGACAGTGATCGATGAAGCTACTTGATGGCTAGAGGTCTCTATTAAAGATAACAATAGGGGCTAACCAACTGCTGAAAATTTTGACACTACTTGGTTGTGCCGATATCCTCGCCCAAAGAAGGTCGTGTTCGACAGAGGAAATGAATTTAATACCTTGGAGTTCCATGAAATGCTGACAAGCTATGGAATTAAACCGAAGCCGATCTCATCGAAAAACCCTCAAACCAATGCGGTGTGTGAACGAGTACATTTGGTAATTGGCAATTGTATTCGCTGTTATCCGAACTCAGATTGGCGACAAGTGATCCAGTATGCTGCTTTTGCCGTGCGTGCAAGTTACCATACAATTTTGGGAACAACACCGGCACATTTGGTATTTGGGCAAGACCTAATTACCCGACAGCTCCATGAGACGAACTGAAATTATCTAACTAATGGCAGGTTTGAGGCCATACTGCGAGATAATGAACGCGAGAACGAATCACGTTTGGAGCACTTCTACCATCCAGGGGATCAAGTGATGACAAGTAATGATTCGAGTGGCCGCTAAAGATCGCAGAAGCAAACATCGCGAAGTGGCCAAAGGACCATATTCGGTGGTGGCAGTGCACGATAATGATACGGTGACACTGGATTACGGAGCCACCCAGCAGAGAATGAACTTCCGTCGTCTCTTTCCCTGCTAAACGACACATGGCATGCGGGTGAATAACCAGCCCGTTGCCAGGATGACGACGGC